GGGATTGGGAATCTGGAAACCTGGGACAAAATTCTCATATCTCTTCACTAATTTTGGGTGCCTTTAGACTAATTTTCAGAGGTGCTGAACATCTCCAGCTCCTTTTGTCTTCAGTTTAAGTTGTGGGTGCTTAGCACTTCTGAAATGTCCAAGGTGTCTCAAATTGGGTATTCAAAGTCATTGACCACTTCTAAAAAAATATGGACTTGGCTTCTCTAAGCCCAGGGCCAAAAGACTTAGAGGGATGGAACTCTCTGCTACCTCTATAAAGAAGGAGGGAAAAGACCAGTGCTGGCCAGCTTCATTTACATGAACTATAATATTGCTTACCCATCTACTCAGTTCTGTTGCTTTAGCTGGAATTTTTTTATGTTTTGATTGTATAAATAATAGATTCCTGTTACTGATCTCATGGAAGGGCATAGCAATTGTGTAGGATATGTCCTAGTGCGAGAAGGTCACCCTAATGTATGGGTAGACTTTGATTTGGTAACAAAATCCAAATTCAACATAGAAGGCTGAGTGTGATGGATTCTTGGGGTATCCAGGACTGTGAATCATCTAATTACCCCCCCGCCCCCTCGCTTGCCTTAGCAAGACAGACACTTGCCTGAGCTTAACTGGGTGTCATCTCCCTGATACCACTAGTGTGTTAGCTACCCAATCTTCTCAGGGCTTTGACAGCCCTCAGTTTGCCTTGCAGGTTAACAATAGGTACCCAGCCCCCTGAGCCCCTCTAAAAATGTCCCCCTGTAGTATCCAGTCCATTACTTGCCAGGTAAGCTGTTCTCATAGGAACAGTGTACACACAGCTTGACTGGTACAACTCAGGATCAGATCCTTTATAACATCACACCATGGAGCTATAGTGAAGCAATCATATGTTTATTATCAAATATTAAGATTTAAGAGATAGTGAGTAAGAATAATAGGAACGATAGGTTACATACAAAACAAAAACATAAGATGCAAAAAACTTATCGATAGTGACCTTTCCTTTAAATAAAGTACTACAAAAGATCCAATCTCTTGCAAAGCTGGTTGGTTTTCTGTCAACTAGGATCCAAATATTCATGAACAACACCGCTCTTCAAGGGCTTCCCTTGATGAATGGATCACAAAAATGTCTTTCTACTTATATTTCCCAAAATTCATTGTTTTTGTCCCCGGAGTGAGGATCCCCTGTGATTCCCTTCCTGGTGCCCGGGCTCCAAGTTATCTTCACATCCTCATGTTGACTCCATATGAAAAACGGGACTTCCGTTGTGCTGGCTTCCAGTGCTTAGTCTACATATAAATCAAAGCAGACAAGTGAATCTACATCCCTTTGTCTGGCAAAACTTGTTTGTCCACTCTGCCTGGGACACAGATTTTAACACATCTTTTCAGTACATATACACAATTCCTTAAATATCATCCATACACACATCTCACAAGGATTATAAGGATCAGGGTGACATAAGTTCTTATTAGATACATCTCACCTGCTTCTCACTGGATAAATACTATGAAAGCAATATGTTGGCTGTAGTGAGTTTGTCAGGCCTGTCAGAGAACAGTGAACACTTTATCAGTTGGCATTGAGGGTTTCTTAGGGTCACAGAGGGGCAGGGGGCAAAGGATGTGATCTAGAGACTAGGAGTGCTTTCTAAGGAGCAGAGACTTTCTCCAAAGGTCCTATTTTGTTCTGGTTCCACACCTAAAGTTTCTGCACCTTGTGTTGCATCAACTGGTGGGATGATGCCAGAATGGACCAATGGTGGTGGCAGTGCAGAGACGGACTTTGCAGTGAGACCTGACCCAACTAGCAGCAATTCATAGCTAAATTGTGCACTGCCCTAAAAGAGAGCAGCATCACTGAGCTAATTTTGCAGCCCCAGACCAGTGTAAGCTGAGTTTGTATCACAGCACTGAACCATGTAGCCCCCACATCAGCCTGGCACCTGGCACAGCAGTTCTCTCTGTACTGGGGTAGGCCAGTGGAGCAGAGCCAACCTTGATGCTTCTCTACCACTGAGTTTAATAGGACTTATAAGTTGGGTTTTAGGTGGGTGGCATTTGTGGTGAACTAAGAATCTGGATGTTATTAAGCCAGACAATTTGGAACCATGTGTTGACCAAATTCCCGATGCATTGCTTTGGGTTGCTCATTTTCTTGTATGTAACTATATAGAGAAGTTTCTCGTGTTTCTCTTGATTGTCTTTTCCTTTCCCCTAAATACTTGTGGTTCCATGTTCCCAAAGTATTGAGTGCTTGTGAGTGGGGAAGAACCATCTAAAAATGTGACTGGGGAGGTTCATTTTAATTTCCCAGAGCATGACATAGAAGTGTGGCACTGGGTGGGGGTGTGAGTGGTTGTTTTATTCATTTTTAGAAAAGAACCACTAGACAGATTGAACCCAACCCTTGCTGTTGCCATTGGTACCTGGCAGAGGGGTTATACTTCTATTCCTGATTAGATCACAGGCAGATAGAATGAAGGAAAGCTATGGAAGCTGGATTAGAGCTAGTTGACTGTGCTCTGATAGCTTCAGGCGGCGGAACACCTTTTAAGTCCTAATAATTGTATATACATACTCTGTCCATTTGGCAAGCCTTTGAGCTGGGACAGACTGACCCCTAGTTTTGCCCCCATTCCCACAGACTTTTTGTGGTGAATATACAAATTATGTGATGAATCAGCTGAGCTGCAATGGGTTCTCTGAGGGCAGCAGGAGGAAATAGGCTAAGGGTGAATCTGCTGTTGCTCTTGTCCTGCTCAGGAAGGATGCAGGTTACCATGAGAAGAGAGGGTCCATTGCACTTGGCTAGAAGTTGTCAAGGACTGGATCACAGAGGCAGAACATCTGGGGCGGGGGGGGGTGCCCTGGGAAGAGTGGGGTGGTTGCAGACTACTGGCAAAGTGCTCCTTGGGACCTAACAGCTGCTAGAAGAGGAAGTGTATGCAGTACTTGCCTGAGACATGATGAGACATCTGGCAAGCAACTAGGGACTGTTTCAAGACAAAGTTTGGCAATCACAACACTACAGAGACCCCATAAGGGGACTACAATTATCATGGCTTAAAACTGCAGACTGACATCTCTGGATGTGAATGAGGCTTGGGGACAGAAGAATTGCCTGATCAAGTTGGAACAAGGAATTTGGAATGAGGCTACAGGACCATCTTATCTTTATAAAACAGAATGTAGGGAGGACTGGCCACCAGGAATGCTGTCTTCACAAGGATTGGTATGAAGATCAATATGAGAGAAACCCCCAGTAGCTTTGGGAAAACAAGTTTAAAATGGTGGAGATGCTTCATGCACCAGAGACAATACATAAACAAACTCTTTCATAAACTTGATCGCAGTGGGGTAAGTTCCAACTGCATCAGCCTGACAGAACTTTGAAACAGTTTTGAGTGCTCCAAGATAAAAGTGATGGAGGATCATCTCAGGTCTGTTTTCTTTCCAATTGCCTAGTTGGAGAATCTCTACCACTTTGCTGAGTAGGTTTTAGTGTTCAATGACTGTGCACTGCAACCTTAATACCATCCCACTAGGAATGACATCCTTCCATCATCACCTTTAAAAAACTACGTTCTCCACCACAATAATATTCTGCAGCAAACAGCCACAACTGCTAGTATTGGAAGGGAGGGAGCTTGGTAAGTGTGGATAGACTGGACCAGAGTTAAGGTTGCAGTGTGCATGGTAAGTGGTGTACAATAGTTGTGAGAAGGTTAAGTAAAGAGTAGGTACTTTAAGGTGGCTTTTCACTTGGTTGTTTTTGTGGGTTTGTGCCACATATGTTGTGTGTAGCAATCCTAACTGATTCACAACCATAGTTTTAGTGTATTAATTAAATTAAGAACTATGAAGGCACAATTAAGGACTTCTTCAGGGGGCTGGGAACACTGATCGGAGAAGATGAAGACAGGAATTGAGAGCTCAGAAGCCACACTGAGCACTCTGGTTCAAAAAAAGCATCTTTACCAAGAAAAAAAAAATCCCCAACTCACCCTGGCCTTTTGAAATACAATTCTCCTGCTAGAAGAGAGTGTGCTAGATGTGGGCGGGGCAGATCCCAGGTGCTGTATGCTGCAGCCTGTTTTATGTAGCAGGTCACACCAAATAATCATCGTGGGGGGCCCCCTGTGCCCTTAAAATCTGTGAATCAGCCAGGAACTCAGTGATGTGATTTCCAAAGTTAGCCATGTGCAAACAGTTGTGTGCACTTAAAGAGACAAGGTGGGTGAGGTAATATCTTTTACTGGATCACCTTCTGTTGGTGAAAGAGGCAAGCTGTCCAGCCACACAGCTCTTCTTCAGGTCTAAGGAAGGTGGAACAGATTGTTTAGCATAAGTAAGGGCCCATTCATGGTAGACTGACACTGCAGTACTGCTGCAGTTATAGGACAAAAAGGGGGTTAGTGGGTTATAGGCGCTTGTAATAAGCCATAAATCCAAGGTGTGGATTTAAGAGCTGTGTGGCTCCAAAGTTTGTCTCTCTCCCCAACAGAAGTTGTTCCTATAAAACCTCACCAACCTCCTTTCTCTAATATCCTGGGAGCCACATGGCTAAAACTACACTGCAGGTGCACTTAGACTACATGGGACATGCTGATCTCCATCTCTGGCTGCTGCACTTCCAGCCAGGGGCAGGACGAGGACCCCTGGGGCTAGCTGAGCTGAGCACAGGCAGCACCAGAGGTTAAGTGCAGGCCTTGTCTAGGGGCTTTTTCTTATATAGCCTCCTATTACCCTGTCCCGATTTTTTACACTTGCTGTCTGGTCACCCTAGCGTGTCCCCAGGCGTGCCCCATGCTCCTAGCTACACACACACAGCGGCTGTTTATTTCTTTCAGCCCCCGCGGGCACTAAGTGTGTGTGGGGCGGGGGCGGTTTCCCAGCTCGGCCCTCCCGCGCTCTAGGGGGCGCTGCTCCCCCGGCGGCGGGCCCCGCTCGCTGCGGCGCGGGCCGCTCGTTGTCCGGGCGGCCGCGGAGTTCCCGTTCCCCTCAGGCCCGGGGCAGCGGCGCGCGCGCGGGGAGCCGGGTCGCGCAGGAGCCGCCTGCGGTCATGGAGCCGGGCTCCGGGCTGCAGCGCAGGGGCGGCGCGGGGCGGGAGTTCGCGGCGGGGGGCTCCCCGGCGCTCTCGGGGCCGCAGTCCCGCCGCAGGAAGCAGCCGCCGCGCCCGGCCGACTTCAAGCTGCAGGTCATCATCATCGGCTCGCGGGGCGTGGGCAAGACCAGCCTGATGGAGCGCTTCACCGACGACACCTTCTGCGAGGCCTGCAAGTCCACCGTGGGTAAGAGCCCCGGGCGGGCGCCGGGCTCCCCCTCAGGCCCGCCCCCGCTTCCCGGGAGAGCGGCCTGGCCGGGCCGACGGGTTCGGCGCGTGTCGCCCGGGCCGGAGCTAGCGCCGCCCCTCGCCTCCTGCGTTGCCCCCGTGCCAGCTGGGGCCGGGCTCTGGCAGTGCTCCGCCTGCCCGCCCCTCGGCCCGGTGCCCTGGCGCTAAACACCCCCCACCAGCCACCTGTCGTGCCCCCTCGCTGCTCCCCTCGGGCCCTCTCCGCGCCCCTGCAGCCGCCGCAGCCCTCCTCAGCCACACGCACGTACAGGTCTCTGCCGACCTTCACATCGCGGGGGGACAGACACTAGTTCCCTCCTCCTGCTCCCAGCCTCACTCCTCTGAACTCCTCTAACTCAGGCGCGTCACCTTCGGCCCCAACAGCCCCTGGAAACGTGACGTGAGCCCTGAACAGAGGAGAAAGGCGAGTAACGCGCTAGAAAACTTCCAGAGAGCCTCTTCCCGGGGAGTGGGGTGGGCGGGGGTCACTGGTGTTGAGAGAAGTTTAGAGCCCTTGCTCCTCAGGATAAGTCTGGCACATGTTGCGATCAATTCCAGACCCTTCAACTGTAGTCTTAAAAGAGACGCTCAAACCCTTAATGATGCTCTTATAATAGGAGATGGATGTCAGGGCCTCCCATGTGTCATGTTAAAAACGCAAGTATTTTAAATGTCAAAAATAAAAAGGGTGCCTGAGTACCTAGGAAATTGAATGTGGATTCAAATATTGGTTCAAGGTTTTAAAGCATTTCCCGAGGAAAATGTAATGGGCACTCAGCATATGGTTCTAGATCTATGGAAAGCTTTAGTTTGAGATTGACAATTAGTAACATCTCTTATGTTGTGCATGTAGTTCACTGTCTTGGACAGCAAATAGCAGAGCAAACAATGTGTTTTATAGCAAATCTTTCTATAAAGTTTAGTCATCAGTAGGCACCCCTTTCAGGTGGATTATTTTTTGGTACAGGAGGGTGAAGGATTATGGGAAGGAAGAAAGAATCAATCCTAGAGCAACCTGAAAAGAAATTTTTAGTCTGCCTTGTTATTACAAGCCTATTTTTGGAGCTGAACTTTCAGTGTTGTGACAAGGTGGTTGTTAGGCGAAGGCTATCTTTCTGTAAAATGTGTGCTTAATTGCAGCTTGGAGCCTGAAGAGTTCTAAACATCTGATGGAAAGTAATAGTGCTGCTTTTTAGAAATAAAGAGGTATCTTCCTCTGACAAATTAATTCTAAAATGGTTGCTGTTACAGTTTTAGTGTTTATTTTGACAGTTTTAATGTTTATTTTGACAGCTCTTTTATTCCTTCCTGGTTTCTTTGAAAAGCTAAACTTGGTAGTGCTTATGGTTTTCTGTTAACAACTGTTAATATATATGTATAAAATACATTGTTCTGAAGTTAGGAGCACAGATTCTGCTTTTTGTTACAAAACCTTAAATGTGCAATATAAAAGTGCCAGAGAGGTATCATAATCTAAAGAGATGTTAATATAGATTTGATTTTGGTGGTGTTATGAAGAAACACTGATAGCTTCCATAACCCATGACAAGCTTATTTAAGGTTAAGGAAATGGGACTAGGATTAGAATTTATCCTCTGTAAGGCGGTGCCTACACTGCCACTTTCAGTGCTAAAACTTTAGTTGTTCAGGGGAGTGAAGAAACACCCCCCTGAGCGATAAAAGTTTTAGAACTGAAAAGCGCCAGTATAGATAGCGCTTTATAAAGCTTACCATTGCTCGTTCGGGGTGGGGGTTTTTTATCGCCGGGAGAGCTCTCCCATGGCGATAAAGCATGTCTACACTGCCCACGTCACAGCGCTGCAACGTGGGCAGTGTAGACATACCCTTAATCTCCTCCAGTGATGAACAAGGTGTATGCAAGAAAACGTTGACCTGTGTTAAGCACTCTTTCTGGATGGGATTAACAGTAAAACCCTGTTGAACTTCCATGATGAGTAAGGGCGGGCAAAAAGTACTGGAGGGAGGTGTGCTTTGGAAACTGGTCAGTTTTTATCTGAGTAGTGAGCAAATCTGATTTGCTAGATAAACCAGTGATTCAAGCACAAAAGCTTCCTAATTTTAGCAAAACAGGAAATAAATAATGGTGTGGTTACAAAAGATTACAAGAGATTTGATCTAAAAAGTATAGCAACATCTAAGGAGCATAGGAAATCTACTTGCACCAAACTACATGTAGAAATACTTGAAAATAAAAGCATTATTTTGAGCCTTCATGACTAAAGTTTTAAAGTTGAGAGTGTTGAGAACTCTAAAGTTAGTAGAACACAAAGAGCTTTTCATAGCTCCAAATTAACGTACTAAAGTTGCCCCTTAATTCTTCATACCATATAGCATCGAGTCTTCAAGTTGGGAAGAAAATACAGGATAGAATAAACTCTACTTTTATACTGATGGTGTAAATCCAAAGTAACCCCATACTGAAGTTAAACTGAGATCAGAATTTGGTCCTCAATTGTAATCATCAAGCACCTCCCTATTTTTTCCTGTTATCACCTCTCCAGGGAGAATGATTTTCTGAAAATCTTGTAACTGATCCAGCAGGACGTGCTTCCCTGTTTTTGGGGGGGTTGGGGGAGAAGTTCTGTAAATTGAATGTGCTTTGAGCTCAAATTTGGGAGGAGAAAGCTAGATGTAACTGAAGGAACAGATACGCAGGGGGGAAGGAATTTAGTGATGATATTGTAAATCTGTATTTAAAATAGTTTGAACTCTAGAATAAAAATTCCCTCCTTTTTTACTTGATATTGACGGTCTCAGCTCAGCTATACACTAATGTTTATATTTAGCTGTACCAGTGTAAGCCAAACAGACCAAAGTTCAAAATGTTTTCTTTAGCTGCTTAATAATTTCTTAAGTGAAACTTGTAGGCTGTTCAGGGCACCAGGCTGACACAAAGGATTTCAAATGTGATTGATAAAATGGTTGGGTGTCTCAGGTCTGTAGGAGCCAATGGCTGCTCTCTGCCCCTACTGAGTGATGTTATGGGCACACTGGGCTGGTGCATTTGGAGGGGAGGAAGTGATTCATTTGAAAAGATAAGGCATTTTAATACTTGTTTACATATTCCACAATGCAAAATTAGTTGACTAAATTATAAATTTCTGTTGTATAAATTATACAACAAATCTCACCTCAAAAGCACACTACTTCTGTGAAGACTTTCAAAAATGACCTGTCAGATTTCAACAGCACATCCTTATAGCAGCACATACATGGTGTACTATATATCTATAGTGCTTCGCTGTTTTAAATACACCTCTACCCTGATATAACGCGACCCCTGATATATCGGCGATATAACACGGTAAAGCAGCGCTCCGGAGGGGGCGGGGCTGCGCGCTCCGGCGGATCAAAGCAAGTTTGATATAACGCGGTTTCACCTATAACGCAGTCAGATTTTTTGGCTCCCGAGGACAGCGTTATATCGGGGTAGAGATATAATAAACTCCTTGGATAGAGCATTGTTTCCTTAATTTTATATTTACATAGCAGGAGCGTACTGGATCTCAAATATTTACTAATTTTGGATACTGTTGCCAAATGAGTAACAAAACGTTGCTATGTAGAGTTTTGTATGCCAGACTTGAAGATAGTGACTCGTAGTTGGTCTGTAGTCTTACTATTAGACCACAGCTTGTATTTGTACTTTTAGGTATTTTGACAAAGATGCTATTTTGTTTAGAAAAGTCCATTCTCTTTATATATGCACAGACTGATGGTATAGTTCTTGTTATCCTTTTAGGGATAGCATCGCCACTTTCCACTGACACCAGAGATTACTATAACGGAAAGAAAATAGAGAATAAAAGTATTCATCTTTCATAATATTAGCACATTTGACAGCATTGTGTAATTCAGTTTTCATTGTTTCCCTGCGTAGTCAGTGACTTCTTTAGGAGTTCCTCATACAGCAACAAGAGAGTTTGTGGGATTTTTTTAATAGGAAAATGTGATTGGAAAACAACAAATTGTCAGGATTCAGGGGTCTTTTAGGTCTTCTATGTGAAACTATATTTAAGTTCTGTGTAGGTGGTTTTTAACTTAAAATCTAGTCAATTTTTTTTTAACATTTGTTCATTTTACTTATTAGTAATACTTGGTATTATCCTGAGCTGAAATCTTCAGACACTGGATAATTATGATAAAATATATTGATACCAAAAATGTTTTAAATATTAGCACCTACAAGATTTATTCCCCCCTCCCCCCAGCAATTTGAGGCAGCAGATGATGAAAGATTTGTACTTAAATCTCACTCCTGCCATTTGTCACCTCTATAAAACTCCATGCTTTCAGAGGCCTTCTGTCTGTCTAGCTCATGGGTTGGGGTTATTTGTGTGTGTCTTGGGGGGGATGCAGAGGTCTAGAACACTTGCTCTCAAATGGAAATTGGTGAGTGGATTGAGTACAGTCTTGTGTGACCTGTTGCCATCTGACAGGCAGAAGTGCAAAGGGCTCTCCAATAACTGATGTGATTGTAGCTGTGAGCTAAGAAAGAAGACAGTAATTCTGTGAGTTCAGAGAAGACTTGCTGTAGATGAGGAGTCCCTTTTTAATGAAAAATCAGCTCAGTTTGCATATTAATACATTTATTCAGTTAAGCTTGATTCTAGAAATGGTTTATATTACTATAATGTGTTTAATATGTTAAGTAGTAAAATCAATCTGGATGTGTAATAAACAAGTGGTGCACCTGGTAGTATTTTCAGGTAATGGTTAAAGAAGCCACTTGTATTTGCACGTTTAATGCCAGAAGAAACAGTGTTCTCAACTTTTCTTCTGGTAAAATCCAAAAATCCAACAGGACAATTGTTCACAAACAGAGCTGGTGGCATGCTTACTGCAGAAAGTTTAATCAATACTACCTGTTGTAACACTTTATGATGTAAGTAATCTACGGACAGATGTTGTCATGTTGTCATGGTATTTAGGAATGTA